AGTATGCATTCTGATAGCTGCAAAAAGCTAACCCATAATACGCCTTTACCTTTGCCGGCTCTTCCCACAGAGATATTGTATGTAGGTTCTCCTCCTTGGCTCTTTGTCCTGATGTCCATTGTCCAGTCGCCCTCATCCTGGAGGCTGTCTCTGAGGACTGAACACTTCTTTGAGCCCAGAGTGAGACCGCTGGTATAAAAGGTCTCCCTGTCCTTACCGATAAGGACGTCTATTTCCTGAGACTGAGGAGAGAGAGAGGGGCAAACAAAAAAAGAGACACACAAAGCAACAGGATTGAGGCGATATTAGTCACATGCCCAAGAAGTAGATGTGGTTCCAGTGACATGGCAAGCATAATCCCATTTCAAATAACACAGTATTATTAGGTAGATCAACTTTAATGCATGACTTCTATGCACACATGAATTACGCACAATAATAATTGAGGGCTATTTTAAAAGAATTGCACATGTCTTGACTTTTGGGGATTCATTTCCATCCTTGTAAACACTGTTTTATAATGATTCTTTTGTGAGAATTGGGTGATTTTTTTGCAAAGACATATTCCAATTCTGTTCTGGGTGTCAGACAAAATGATAGAGGCCCCAATTATCTAATATTTTAAAAAGGCACAGAGAAAAACAAAAGGTATATTATTAATAGTAGCATTCTGGCACCGGTCACGTGTGACAAAACAGCGGCATTAGGAATTACAGACTAGCATCAAGGGAAAGGACCGCGTTGAAACCCATTCTCTGAATCCTAACACGCCCTGTCCCCAAACCAGGCGATAATATGATCGGGATCCTCTGCCTGCAGGGACTAGCGGAAGTAAAGCGGCGTCTATGCACCGGTCTACCGCTCAAGCAATCCCAATGAATGAACTGAAAACGCTCATTCCCTATTAAAAGACGAGCATTTATAATTGCACTCGTTTCTTGCTCGCGCTGATAACACTGCGGATTTACCCCAGGCTGAACCAAACACCACACATTAGCTTTTAAAAGCACCCAGAGCCGGTAAAGCAGCAGCTTAAAGTTAGCTAATCAAAGCAAGCGTGCACACAAAAGCATGCACGCTCCCTTCAATCAGACACAATCTACTCGCTGGTCTTAAATTAGCTAAGTGTTGTTTTACCCGGGTTCCCTCACCCCTTTATTTTGATTATTACAAGACAGCACGCCATAATCATCTATTTGTGTGTGAAGGCCATTATACGAGAAGCCTTCTCTGAACCACATGAGGTCTAATCCCAACGTTTCCTTAGCTAGAAAAAGCCGACACAGGCCAGTGGTGAGCTAGCCAGCTAGCCCATAAGCTAGCTCGGCACCGTTAGCTCGTTAGTCGCTCAGATCCTGCGAGGTAACGGTTTCTGCGCTCCACTGGCTGGTGAACGTCTGCGTGACAGATAACATTACTGCCAAATGAAACCACACTCTCACACCCCCAAACGAGCTCGTTTTGACTTCTTACCGTGATATTGTTGAATGTACCACCGGCATGTGCTGCCCAAACATATTTGGCGTCCATATAACCAACAATGGCGCTATCCTGACAGCTGCCATCGGCCATCAGGTTTTCCACGTAGCTTTGCCAAGACATTTTCAAGAAACTGATGATATAAATATATTTAATTTAAAAAACTACACCTATTTTTTAGTGTTGTCGCCAAATAAGAGGCAAGACAGAATGAAAGAAAGCCCGCAGACTAATTTAGAGTCTCCAATCTAACCCACACTTCGACGTTGAGCAACGCGAAGGCTGGGGCAGCAAAGAAAGCCAGGGCAGTGAGGCAGCGGCTGGGTGTAGTCCGTATCAGATCACTCCGCACAATGAGCTCCCTGGCGCTTTTATGGCAGCAGGCGGCGGAATAAAGAGGGACTTATCAGCTCAGCCAACAGTCAAGTCTGAGGGAATGCCGGGGTGGAGATTTACTGATTCTTCCATTAACTTCAAGTGTTTTCATGTTGTATGGATGACATGACAAAGAGCGTCAGACCAGACACCGTGTGCGCTTTTACCCGCAGTACACAAAAACAACACGCACTGAGATGCACGTGTCTGATGGATTTCGCGATTATTTTCTCACCTAACGATCCTTCATATTATTGCTACTTAAAATCTGCATTGACCGGCCACTTTGTTAGGTACACCTGTTCATCTGCAAGTAATTGCAAGTATCTTATCAGCCAATCACATAGCAGCAACTCAATGCATTGTAAATATGGTCGAGACGACATGCTGAAATTCAAACCGAGCATCAGAATGATGAAGAAAGGTGGTTTAAGTGACTTTGAACGTGGCGTGGTTGTTTGTCTCTGTATTTCAGGGAAAAAAAAATCGGGGTTTAGGTTAGGGAGCCCTGTGGGTGAAAATGCCTTGTTGATTTCAAAGGTCGGAGGATAATGGCTAGACTGCTTTGAGGTGATAGAAAGGGAATAATAACCCAAAAAGGCCATTCATTATGTTCATTATTCATAATTCATTATATTCTGAACACACAACACTTTGACCTTGAAGCAGATGGGCTACAGCAGCAGCCAAAGGGTGCCACTTCTGTCAGCTAAGAACAGGAAACTGAGGCTCCAGTCAACAAGATACTGGAAAATGTTTCCTGGTGAGTCTCAGTTTCTGCTCCAACATTCTGATGTAGGGTTAAAAAAAACAAAAAACAAGAAAGCATGGCTCCATCCTGCATCGTATCAATGGTTCAGACTAGTAGTGGTGGTGTGATGGTGAGGGGGATGTTTTCTAGGCACACTTTAGGTCCCTTAGTACCAACTGTGCATCGTTTAAACACCACAGCCTACCTGTTGTTGAATGTGTCCATCCTTTTTTGACTACAGTGCATTCATCTTCTGGTTGCTTCCAAGAAAGATCATCTCAAATTGCTTACTTGAACATACTAAGTTCACTGTACTCAAATAATCCCCACATCACCAGATCTTAGTCAAATCAAGCACCTTTGGATGTGCTCATGAACGTGCAGCCAACAAATCTGCAGTAACTGTGTGATGCTGTCATGTCAATATGGGCCAAAATCTCTCAGGAATGTTTTAAACACCCTATTGAATCCAAGGGATGAAGAATTAAGGCAGATCGGAAGGCAAAAAGGAAGTCTGACCTGATACTAGCAAGTGATGACTACTGAGAGATATAAACCAGTCTCCCCTAAGAAATCTGATTATCTGAGATAAGCAACCCGTATATTTATTATCTGTGTTCTGTTTGGGGTCCTGGAGACAAACTCAGAAGCCCAAGACTGCTTACCATTATCTTATCAGCTTGGAACTTTTCATGACATGATTTTAGATTCTTTCATGTGATTAATATCAAAAATGTGCTCAGACTCTAGCTAACACAAATATATGGAAAATTAGAATTATGTTTGGGAATTACAGTGGAACGCCTTTTGCTCATACTTATATACATTACCACATCTATTTGATCAAATATGCTGTCCCAGTTGGACAAATCATTGCACTCGCTTTAAAAAGGTTCAGGATTATGAGATTAGTACTGTTTTTACTTACACTATTAGAAGCATAGCTTTGTTTGTCTCAGACTAAAAAAAAGACAATTTCTGCATTTAAAATATGCTTTTTCTTTAAAAACAAAAGTCATCATTCTTGACTACTTAAACATTAGATGATGCTCATACTGCCTTGTTTGCCTTGTCATCCTAACAGCAGCATGAATGTCACATTAACAAGTATTTAACCTTACATCCTTTTCACTGCGTCTAAATGTTTTTAAACAAGATCAACAAAACAAATAAATGTGATTATTCTACAGTCCATTGTAAAAGTGATGACCAGTAGTTCACTATGTCCATTTCAGACACCCCATCCTCCCCCTTCTTATCAAAATCAGGCCCAGATCGTTCCACTTGGTATATAAGTCACTGTGTTGGAGACAGTGCAAGCTAAACCTAATCTTTTCTATTTTGGACCCAGTTAAACAGTTTTAATCACAGACATGTACACTGTTTGAAACTGCAGGGTTTTTTTTTTTTTTATCACACCACTGTTATTATTATAGCGGACGTAAAACAACCATTACTTGATATAAGCTAAATGAAACGGTGAAGGGTTCAAGGTTCACCCAAAATCACCAAAAAAGGAAAGGGAAGGACCTCTTTGAATTCAAAACTCATTCTTGGCCACCGGGGGCAGTGTTCTCTATGATTTGGGAAGCCTCGTGGTCTGTGAGAAAAAACATGTTTCGCTGGTTTCCGAGCACGTCTTTTTCCTTTCGGTGCTTTTGAGAGATATCCTGTAAAGTTCCTGTAAAATTGAAACAGGAAGCATTCTGGTTAATTCTTAATTAGATAGTTTCTATTTTTTTTTATTTGCTCATATATGTTACAAGCATGCATATTTTGTCGTATTGCTCCATAACACATTTAAACAGAATACTGGGTGGATTTAGTTTGTTATTGCAGCTGATCATCAAATAAGGCATTTTATACCTCATGCTACCCGATATAATAGCCCAGTAACAGCTAATTAAGGCAAGGTGTAACTAAAAAAGAAAGAAAGAAAGAAACTTTACAGTGATAAGAAAAGAGTATTTTGCTCTGAGGGGCAGGCGGTAGCAAACAAGCAAGAGTGTTTGGGAGTGTTTTATCAAGACATCCATCTATTGTGATTTATATAAATCTGACTAATCGCATAATCAGCTAGACTGATAATGAGGAAATTATGAGCTAATTACGTTTCACAGTTTTCCAAGGTCCAAAGTAATCGGTCAAATAGATCCGTTGTCTGAATAGTGACAAATAGAATATAAAAGGTTAAATAGTCATTAGAGTAGCACTACCCCGACAACAATTTCAGGGTAGTGCTACTCTAATGAGTAGTCTAAAAACAAATGTCTAGAACATTTCTTTTTACTCTTTCTGTGCGTGCAGTTGTGAACGTATTTGTTTTTGTTTTTTTCCGAAGGCCCGTGAAGGCATCATTAGGATGGATTCTCAAAAGCCTGGTACGTAAACGTCTTTTGCGCTCACTACCTACCCACGATGCAGCGCGGTCGCACACAACATAGCCATCTTGTCAGGAGTGACTGAGTGAGGGAGGCAACTGTAGACGCTGTTTAGAATATCATTTGTTTTTTTTTTTATTAACGCGTCATATTTAAGAGCCCCTTTCTCCCTCAACCGTAGTCAGCGACGGAGTGAGTGTCGACAACGAATGACTTTGAGCTGGTGAAGCGAGAGGCTACGCAGCGCCGCTTTCAGAAGGATGTCTCACATACTTGTTCCGACGTAGGGGGAGTGTGCAGCAGCCAGTTGGCTTGAATTGTTAGCTAGCTCAGTGAGTGGAGGGCTACGGGCCCTCCTCAGCTTAAAGTAGCCCCTACAGCTGGGCAGCCCACTCTGCGACAACGGCCGCTCGACAACTGGACAACCGGGACATTAGCGGGCCGAAAGCCGCGGATCGGTCACCGCACGGGCTGTTGGTAATCGTGTCTGAAGCCCTGCTGCTGGACAAGACGACACGAAGTGTGGCATTGCGTTATGAGCTCTTGAAACGCAACAGGAGTCCGAGAGAGGAAGAGGATGGCGCAGATACATCTTGATTACAGTTAGGTAGGCTAAAAAGAAAACTAGCTCCAGGTCTGCTGCTTATTATGCTCTAAGCTTTTAAAAGCTGCAGCCAGCTCGCCCCTTTTTGACTGAGGATAAACATAGCCATACGGGACTTGGATTCAGGCTGTCAATATGTCGAAAATGCCGGCCAAGAAAAAGAGCTGCTTTCAGATCACAAGTGTGACTCAGGCCCAGGTGGCGGCTGTAGGTGCCGCCGACGACACGGAGAGTCTGGACGATCCAGACGAGTCACGGACTGAGGACGTGTCGTCGGAAATCTACGACATGCCACGGGCTGATTATGAGCCTGCGTGTGACATAAGTTCATCCGAAGAAGCTCTGAATAATGTTGTGGAGCCAGAGGCGGTCGGAGTGATGCCACCATCAAGCGTACCTCATGCCAGTCAGCTGTCAGCGCTGTCAAGCAACCCCTCTGGGGATTTCAGAAAAGTGGGAGTGTCTGGTTCGAGTCAAGGTGGTCAGCAAGCACCGGGGATTGGCGCTGGGGCTGGTTTACCCCTTGTCACTCAGGCTGGGCCAGTGCAGCAGCAGCAGCAGCCTGCTTCTGCAGCCAGCGCTGGGCCAGCGAGTGCGTCAGTGAACACATCCCAACCTGCTGCAGTGCCCAGTTCAGCTCCACCTCCTGCCACCTCCACGGTGAGTTGCTCCTCGCGGTTCAGGGTCATTAAACTTGATCATGGTACTGGAGAACCGTTTCGGCGAGGCAGGTGGACGTGCACGGAGTTTTATGAGAAGGACTCTGAGAGCTCTGTTGTTGGTCGGACTGTGGATAGCATGAGACATGCCAACACAGCACTGGACCCTGCTGCAGACAGAGACAGTGGGCTCGGGCTTACAGGAGGATCTGCCGCAACCTCAACAACGCCCTCGAGTCATGGCTTGGGCTCCATGGCGGACTCTTCTCTCTCTTCTAGTCGTGTGCACTCGGTAGAGGCGCAGCCACCGCAGCAGCAAATCCACCATCAAAACTACAGCGCCCGCCAACAAGGTGTGAGTGGGTCGGTCACGCACAGTTCTTTCTCCAGGCCTACGGCTGTTCCGGCTCAGCCAGCAGTGGCAGGTCTGCAGCCTCTTGTTCCACAGAACCTGCTGCCTGTCGAGCAAAACGGCCCACCTCAATCCGGTGTCCTCATACAGAAGTCTCCCATCATGCCTCTCTCTGTCCAACCAAGTCCTTACCCTCCTCAGCAGCAGCAGCAACAACAGCTTCCTGTGGGCCAGCACCTGGCCGGCCAATCACCTGGACTGATGCAGAACCAGGCAGAGTACTATCAGCAGCACCACTCTGCACCCCTGCCACCAGGGCTTGCCTCAGGCCAGCCCCACCCAGTGTCCAGCCAGGGACAAGGACCCACTTCGGTGATGCCTACAGCCTCTGGAGGGGCATCTGCGCCAAGTCAGGCTGTAGATGTTCTTGGAGCAGCAGTAGGAGGAGTACTTCTACCTGCTGGACAGCCAGCTCCAACTGTCTTGCAGCAGCAGACTGTAGGGATGGGAGCTGCTGGAGGCCCCGTATTGGTTGGTGGATCTGCTCTGAAGCAGCAGACTGTGAATCTTTATGCCACCGCTGGACAGCCTCAACCCCACGGCCACCCTCCATCCTCTGGTGTACAAAATGTGCCTGCCATTGCAGTGAGTTCCAGTGTGCCCCCCACTGTGCCCACTGTTGTGCCCAGTGCCTCCAGTGCAGCAAAGCCAAATGTGACAACCCCGAGTTTGCCTCCAGGTCAGATAGCCCACAGCAACACTGCAGGGGCTTTGGGGCCACAGGGCCTCCCAGTGACTGCATTTGGTCAGGTGGAAGCTGGTGGTGGGAGGAAGTCAGATGGAATCATCAACATACAGTCTCCAGTTGTCTCTGTGAAGGAACCAGCGAAGCCCTTCATGCCTGAGAGCCTGCAGCTCACCACTCCGACTGTCAACAGCATATTTGCAATCCACATACCTGTCGACGGGGAGGAGGACAGGTAATATATTTCCAAGTCTTTATATTAATATCCCTATCCCTGTTAAGCTTCACATCATCACTGCTGATCCTCTCTAAAACTACCCGTAATGAACACCGCTCAAAAAATCACAATGACCATGCAAGGACTAAACATGCTTAATTTAGTCCACAGCAGGGGAGAAGTTTGTCACACGTTTAGCCATTTGCAGAAAGATGAAAAGCCGTAACAAACAGCAGCACTGTGTGCTTGTTAATACGGACAGGGTTTTCCCCGTAGTTTCAGGGAGGTATTGAGGAAGGGGAGTATGACGAGGAAGAGAGTAGTGGCACACAGGAAGGAAATATGTTTGCTGTTTTAATATTGGGGCCTAAAGCAGTCAGTGGAGTGTAGCACACTTCCCCAGCACAAGCAACAACTTGTTAAATACACATGGCTCCTGTATCACAGTGACTCTGTGACTCCTTGTGTGTAAGGGTGTGTGTGTACGTGTGAGTCTCCAGCTTTTACTCCAGCTATCACCCTCTAGAACAGTGTGTGAGGTGATGGCCTTGGCTGAAAACCTCACAGATGTTTTGCTGGTTGCTACTATGTGTAAGGTTAGTTCAGTGTTCGGTTAGCCAGGCTAACTGAGGCTGCACTGCACATGTACAGCAGATTTTATTAAGTCAGGTCCTGTTTTAGAAAATCCGTTCTGATACAAACATAATGAAGAGTATTTTATTTTTTAAATGTATTTTGGGGGGGCATTGCTACAGTTAGCCCCACCAGGTACTGCTCACTAAAAATGTTTAGAGAAGTTTTGGGCATTTACATTGTTAAATTTGTGATGTACCGTCTTCCACTCATGTGGTGTCACATAAGGAGTCTCTTTGTAAGCAAATGTCATCTACAAAAGAGATCACAATTGCGCATGATTTGATTTGTGAACTAAAAAATAGGAGTATGTGAAGTTTGCATCTCTTCCAGAAATGATCTTTCTCTCAGTAGTAGATGGCACACATGAGCGGAAATGATTTAAAGCCTGAAATCTCTCAGTGGTTTCCATTTACAGTCTTAGAGATGTACCAGAATGTAGACCAGACAGGATACGCAGCCTGCAGAGCACTGGCACTACTTTCTTTCTTCCTCTCGAGCTGTATGTTGAAGTGTCAGTTTGTAATGTGCACTTCAAGGAAGTTTAAAGTGCTTCGATGACTTCTGTCATTTCTGTGACTGGCTTTTATTTTGTTTTATTTTTTAAAAATCCTTTATTTGTTTACATTTTGGCACTTATAAATCATTTTTGAATTATTTATGGATGTTATTTCTAAATGGACATCGGAGATTATCTTACTAGATACTGATGAGTCTGTGTCACACAATAACATAAATACATTTGCACAGATATCACTCATGACATCGAGAACAATTTATTTTCTTGATGCAAATGATTGCAATTGGACTCAAAAAGCCTTCCAAACACTTTAGCTGCCACTATGAGAAATACATGTCAGCTTTTGACTCGTATAAGCATGTCCAACCAGCAAGCCAAATCATACAACTTAAGCTTTGTTCTATCAGGTTCACGCAGTATCTCTGCAGTATGTGTCCATCCTGAAAGTCTTTCGCACCCTGAGAGGGAGATGAGCTTCGCAGGTTTATATTCAGCTCTTCACTTGATCTGTTTAAGTTGTAATGACCACAGGCCAGTTATTTTGAGTGCACTTTTTTAATATCAGGTGACATTTCAAAGGTTATTAATGTCTGTGATAATGTCACTCTCTTCGGGCGCTAGATTTTTGGAGCACCTATAGTTTGCTTGTGAGAAGACTGAGCTCCCGGGGTGATAAGAGCGGGGGTCTCTTACGACAGCCAAGCACTATCAGACACTGAGCAGTAGTTTTTCCACTGTGCCCCTGTTTTGCCGATAAGAGACCTCACAAAGGGGCGTGTCAACCAACTGTGCGTTGTCACGCAATGGCCCCTTTCTTTTGCAATGCAAGTTTAGGCTAAATTACCCTGTTCTGTTTAGAGCCTTTGGACAGGAGCAAACATACATGTTTCATAGTAAGGGTTCACACTCATCTGTAAGTCATTCAAAACACCGGCTAGCGTACTGCTCTCTGTTGGTGTGGTCAGCATGCTGTCTGCCCCTCTGACTGACAGAAGAGGCATGACAGTTGCTCACGTACAGATGAAGTGTTGAATGACATTCCTTTACTGCAGCAACTGAGTTAAGCACAGAAGAGGAGGAAGAAGTTGCGTACTGAAACCTGCTGTGCCTCTTTTTAGTAGGCATTTTAGCTATGCCTGGCACACCTCCCTCCCGTAGCTTTAAAAAAAAACATGTTTCCATTCTTAATTTCTACATTTCTACTGCACTGTTTGTTTCTCTCCATACTCATGTGTCAAACAACAAGAAAATTCATGCTCATTAAACTTTCTCTTTTTTTCTGTAGACACAAATTGGGCTTTTTATTGCCAAATAAACAGACTGTAGCATAAGTTTGAAAAAAGTGAGACCTTTCCCGACTCTCTTGGTTGACTCACCCTGTGGAGTGCCTGCTGTATGAGGTATTTTGGACAGATTTTTGCACAAAACTCACTCCCTAGTGCCTATCCTCAGTGCTTTCTCTTCCTCTCCCAGCAGTAACAGTGAGCAGCGCTAGCTAATGGTAGCTCAGAAATGATAAGGCCACTATGGAATAAGTCATTCATTTCAACAAAAGGCAGGGTGTAACTGTCCAGTTACAGTGCCAATTCACATCAGTCGCTGCTGCAATGCACTTTATTTAGTAAGATCCTACAATATTACAAAAACCCAACAATCAGACGACCCCCTGTTAGCATTTGCCGAAAGTGGGAAGTAGGGCTGTGCGATATGAACAAAATCTCATATCCCGATATAAGAATTATATCGTCCTGATAACGATATAAATCACAAAAATTTAAAATTTTCTGTAAATTCTGTGAATCTCGGGCAGCTCGACTTGCGGGAAGTGTTTCCAGCTGCGCGTCATGTAGCTGGAGTCGAGTGTTTTAACTAGGGCTGAACGATTATGGAAAATCTAATTGCAATTTTTTTTTTTGCCCCAATATTGCGATATGCGATTATTTTTTAAGGTCTTTGTCTTCTGTATTATTAAACAAAGACAAGCAATACATCATATAGTATGGCCAATACTATATTACATTAATTTTAAACTGTTCTTTCCTGGAAGACAGACCTCTGTTATGATGACATGAGGTGATGCATGAATTGATGACTGACATTTTTATTTAACTTCTTCAATCACAACAGTATATTTGAACATACACAATAGTTTATTTTTAGCTTACAAACATCTGAGCATAAAGTGCTGACAAGGAACCCTGGTGTAAACATTAAAATGAAAGTCAGTACAATGTGCAGATTGCAGAAATATACATAAAAAAAATCAGTGGCTTTACCACACTCAGTTTTTCGACATCTGTGAACTACTAGACAGTCATTCAATTAAAAAATAATATTAAATAAATAAAACTAATAAATAAAAAATACACACATCTTACTGATCTCTGCAGTCAGTAACATTACACATAAAGTGCAAACATAATAGCAATTGTATAAACACACACACAAACCTCTGATTAGCGTCACCGCTGTCTCGGTGGAGTTTAATAAACTCGGCCGTCTGCTTCTTGCTATCTAAAATATAACCAGTCACTGGTGTAAATTCTCGACTGTCTCATACTTCTGTTTAATAAGTTTTCTGTTTGACGTTTAGTCAGTGTGAAAACCAAGGAGGAACCCACCCGGGGGATTAATAAAGTTTTATTTTATCTAATCTAATAACTTTAATCTCAGCCAAACCGATTTACTCACGAACAAACAAAACACTGAAAAAAGCCCAACAATAACATTTTTAGGTTGTCTAAGTGACTTATATATTACGTTTAACCCGAGCAGCGAAACTCCGCGGTGATCTGAAAATGATGTGCCGGGAGTTGTGCCGTTCTCGGCCGCATCAGTAACCCTCGAGCTCTCGGCTAGCTGTCGAGCTGGTGGGTAGCAGACGCCTCTGAAAACGTCGAAGCACTTTTGCAAATATGGGATATCTTGATAAACCGAGCAGATATTTGATGTTTACACAGCTACTTTCTCGCCTGAAAATATGTTAAAAGTTTATTTTGTGACCCAGAAAGATTAGTATGAGTAATTTTAAAACTTAGTAGCGGCCGCCATTGCTGGAAACTGGAGTTTGGCTGGGCCGCGCTATGAATTCTGGGATATGGTAGTAATTTGGACAGCCTTCGGCGCGTCGCTGTGACGTAATCGGTCTACAAATGCGGCCTCAGGAGGACACAGCCCATGAATTTGGACATGTCCAGAGTATAATCGCAGCCTTTGCGGTTAGAAAATTGCACTTGATCATGTCGCGATATTATCGCAAATGCGATATATCGTTCAGCCCTAGTTTTAACCAATGCATGAAACTAGACATTTTTAGACATAAGTTGTAACGGCCGCCGTTTTCTTTGTGAGTATTTATTACACAGCGTGCTGCGGGGAAAAGCCTGTTCTAACGTTTGAGTCTAAGGTTTTTGTTTTTTTTTAGCACCTGGCGGCTCCTTTTTACTTCTCATCTGTAAACAATCTGCTCTTTCACGTGATTCAGTTTATTTTGAAAAGTCTCAACAGGATCTTGTGCTTTATTGTGAAAGGTTTATGTGGAACATAAACAAGCGGACACGCGATGGCGTTACCGTCGTTGTTGCTAACCACAATGCATAAAAACAGGCGCTTGTCCTTCAATAGTGTGGTTATATTAAATATAAGAGAAAGAAAGAACTTTAAGACATTAATATAGTCACTACAGTGAGCATCAAAACGATGAAAAAATATTGCCATAAACAGTTTATTTTGCGACACCACGACACAAACGATAGTGTAAAATGAAACGATAGACGTTTTTATATCGTTATCCGATATATATCGAACAGCCCTAGTGGGAAGGAAAATTTCCCTTTGAAACAGGAAGAAATCTCTGGCGAAACCA